TCTTCCCGCCTCTAGCCAAACACTCGGGTAGCTCGAGCCTAACCCGTCTCTGACACCACTGTCATGTGGGTTCCTGGGGAGTCCATTGTTGGGGACCACCATCAATGAGTTAAGCTACACCAACCGTAGGAAGTGGTTTCGACACCATGTCTCAACCCAAGACCTTAAGGTATTAAGTTTATGGGTATTTCCACTTATATAGACTTCACTTAGCCAATTACCAACCAAATGTGAAACTAATCACACTTGAATATCACAACATTCTCCCCCTCAGTCTCAAGTGAGAGACCCAACATTGGTATACTCTCTCTCTACAAAGTACCCAGGCCCAAACACTCAACCCGCCTCTAGGCAATCATCAGGCCAGCTCGAGCGCAACTCGGCTATGATAATACTGTCACACGGGTTCAAGGGAAGCCCATAGTGGGGGACTACCATCAATGTGCTAAGGCTAAACCATCATATCAAGTGGATCCAACACCATGTCTCAACCCAAAACCTTAAGGCATTGGGTTAATGGATTTTCCCACTTATATACACTTGACTTAGCACATTACCAACCAATGTGTGATTTATCAAACTTGAATATATCGGCTAAACTAGGCAAAATGAAGTTCTAATTACCAAAATATATTGGTTGATAATGGGTTAAGTGAATTCAATATAAGTGGGTCCTCCCATGAACCTAATGGCTTAAGGTTTTGGGTTGTGTCGAATTAACTTGGTGTGATTGGCCTAGCTCAGCTCGTTGGTGGTTGTCTCTCGCCACGAGCTCCCCTAGATCCGCCTAATAGGTTCATATCATTAAAAAATCAGAGTCGTTAGATCTAAGTGAGATTAACCGACAAGATTTAGAGTGAAACTTGTACCAGTGTTGTAACATTCCGAGCACTGATGAGGGCGGGGAATGATTGCCGGTGCGAAAGGGCACAAATAAGGAGCGGCTCCTGGTAGGCTTCCAGCGGGGGGTACATGAATGAATTGAATCAACACTTGAAAGAAAAGGATTCCAAAGATTGTGCAGGTATGAGCCTGCACAGTTGGGAATAGCTTATAAGAATTAATTTGTACTACCTATACTAAAAAGATGCATCTACTTTTTGGTAGCCTGAAGAACTCCATAGTTAAGTGTACTTGACTTGGAGCAATTCTGAGATAGGTAACATCCTGAGAAGTTTTTCCAGGAAGTGTGTGAGTGAGGATAAAGCATGCTGAAAAGTCTCGTATTAGTGTGTGGAGATAGTAATTGATTCTTGAAGCAGCCGAGCGTTACAAGATGTTATCAGAGCAGGGCCTCTCTTCCAGTATGGTGTGGTTCGAGGACGAACTAGGCAGAAGCTAGTGGGTATGTAACATCTCAAGCGCTGACGAGGGCAGGAGTGATTGCCGGTGCAAAAGGGCACGGTGCGAAAGGGCACAAACAAGGAACGACTCCTGACAAGCTTCCAGTGGGGGGTACATGAATGAATCGAATCAACACCCGAAAGAAAGGGATTCCAAAGATTGTGCAGATATGAGACTGCACAGTTGGGGATAGCTTATAAGAATTAATTTATACTACCTATACTAAGAAGTTGCATCTACTTTTCGGTAGCCCATAATGAAAGAACTCCATAGTTAAGCGTGCTTGACTTGGAGCAATTTTGGGATGAGTGACATCTTGGGAAGTTTTCCCAGGAAGTGTGTGAGTGGGGATAAAGCATACTGAAAAGTCTCGTGTTAGTATGTGTGGATAGTAATTGATTCTTGAAGCGGCCGGGCATTACAAGATGATATCAGAGCAGGGCCTCTCTTCCAGTATGATGTGGTTCGAGGACAAACTAGACGGAAGCTAGTGGGCATGTAATATCCCGAGCGTTGACGAGGGCGGGGAGTGATCGCCGGTTGGAGCAATTCTGGGATAGGTGACATCCTGGGAAGTTTTCTCAGGAAGTATGTGAGTGAGGATAAAGCATACTGAAATGTCTTGTGTTAGTGTGTGGGGATAATAATTGATCGCAACGTGCCCTTTTGCATCGGCGATCACACCCCGCCTTCATAAGCGCTTGGGATGTCACATGCCCATCAGCTTCCGCCTGGTTCGTCCTCGAACCACACCATACTGGAAGAGAGACCCTGCTCTGATACCATTCTTGAAGCGGCTGGATGTTACAAGTGTAAAATAATCATGACTTATATATATATATATATATATATATATATATATATATATATATATATAATTTCTCAACCGGTTTATTAATTACTCAATTAATTCAATCAAATTGAACACGCGGCAAAATTCTCCTTATCAAATTCTTATAGCCTAGTGGTAAGTATTGCTGATAATATATTTTTAAAGATATTAGATATAATTAGCAGACGAGTTGTTGCGTATCTGATGACCAAACTGGCCTCAATTAAGTAGTCACTTCTCATATAATGCATGAATGAAGAGTAAATACCCTTTTCAGTCCCTGACAATATCCACGAAGCCCTTTTCAGTCCCTAGCAATAAAAAAGGGACAAATTGGTCCCTGAAATAACAAAAAAGAGGCCACGTTCATCCTTCCGTTAACTCCCACCTAGCGGCCCAACTAACGGTGCACAGTTGGCACGTTAGTTTGCTGACGCGACTTGGATGTGGGACACCGTGGAAGACGAGACAACGACGTTTTGGTCCCTGTCAAAACCACGAGGGCCATTTTGGTCCTGTCAAAATGCATGAGGTTGTTTTTAGTCCCTGACAAAAAGCACGGGGCCCTTATTGGTCCCTAACCAGAGAAAAATAGGCACATGACTTCATTACTTTTCTATGCAGTCCAATTTTGCAAAACAGAAGTGCATTACATCAGAAACAGAGTGCAATCCATTTGTTCATCACAAAGTAATTAAACTAAATTTCATCACAAAGTAAAATACTCCTTCTTGGCATTTTATTTCAATGAAGTTTGTGTTTCTAGCTGAAGTTTTGACCTTATTAACGATTATTCATTTCTTTTTCAATGCTAATTAAGCTTCCCACTTTGTTAAAAGGGATTCTTGGTTCTTGCAAACAGCTTTTACGATCCCTAGAATACTATGAACTGCTTTAATTCTCTTAGTCTGTTTAAGACATAGCGTTATGCAATTTACGAACAATATCTTCAGTAGTGTAGCATTACAATTATACTATTTATTTTTCTATAAAAGATAATTGCATGATTGTTGATATTTAAATACAGAGAAAAATCAGAGAAGAAGCCAGGTAAATGATTGTTGATAATTGCAATGCATGGCAGTTGACTGGACTGCAGCAGTTGGTAGTTCTCAGCCACATGAAGGCAACCTGAGAGGATGCAACCCACCTCCATCAAATCCACAACAGGAAAATGAGCTGTTGAGTAATGAAACAATGAATGCAGTAACCAGTGGCACACGAAGCAGATTATTGGCCTTCATGAGCACACCTGGTTTTAGGCCACCAAGGCCTGCCTCAAGAAAATGACCTACTGCTGTATATGACCTGGGAGTAGTGCATGAGCCAACTGAGAAGGGTTTATTATTATGTGACTGACTTTTTTTTGAAAATTCTGGCCGTTATGTATTTGGAGGCCTTATTATGTCAATGTTTTTTTTGTAAATTCTGGCCATATTGTATTAGAGGCCTTTCTTTTAATTCCTGGCAGTTGGCTTTATTTTGTAATGCACTACTGTACATCTATGTCTTCAAATATAATGATATTCAAATCATGTTCCAGCTTTTATGTTTCACAGGGTTGATGAATGTTTAAGTTTACCATTTTTGATGTTTTTTTAACTAATATACGTAGTTGTAGTTCTTGTACATCCATGTCTTCTGGTTTAACAAATTGGACTGCATACAAATCCAATTTAATGTCATGTTCCTGATTTGCAAATTGGATTGTACTCCTGTTTCTGATGTAATGCACTTCTGTTTTGCAAAATTGGACTGCATAGAAAAGCAATGAAGTCATGTGCCTATTTTTCTCTGGTTAGGGACCAATAAGGGCCCCGTGCTTTTTGTCAGGGACTAAAAACGTCCTTGTACATTTTGACAGGGACCAAAATGGACCTCGTGGTTTTGACAGGGACCAAAACGTCGTCGTCTCGTCTTCCACGGTGTCCCACATCCAAGCCGCGTCAGCAAACTAACGTGCCAACTGTGCACCGTTAGTTGGGTCGTTAGGTGGAAGTTAACGGAAGGATGAACATGACCTCTTTTTTGTTATTTCAGGGACCAATTTGTCCCTTTTTTATTGCTAGGGACGGAAAAGAGCTTCGTGGATATTGCCGGGGACTAAAATGGGTATTTACTCCATGAATGAATTAGATATAATAATTTTTTTTTTTTGGATATTATTCATCGATCCATTGATTACTCAATTAGTTCGATTCAAGTTAAATAGGACCACATTGACGACAAAACTTTCCTTACCAAGTTTTAATACAGCTGTTGTATTTTCAGGGACTCGAACTCGAGACTACTAATTGAACTAGAACAACCTCTTATTCAATATTTCACGTGCTTGGTGGTACATATAAAAAAAATTCTAAATTAAGTCAAGTCGAACTTTTATGGAGATAAAAGTCGCTCAATCCGATTGCCACCCTTACTAATTGTAACAAGTTTGATTCACTATTTTTGTAATCATTTTTTTGGTGTTAGCCAGCTTGTTTCAAGAAGATGCGTTAAGAGTCACGTATGTGCTGAGTGCTGACAACTGAATAAGTGGTTTCATTTCATAAGCATAAGTGCATAACTGATTGTATCAACCAATAATTGGTAGTAATTGCCACAGTATTGGTAGTAATTGCAGTAACAGAGCCATTTAAATTTAAGCCAATTTGTTTCAAAGTTAAAATTAGGGTTGGGTTACCTCCAAAAAAAAATAAAAAAATTTGAAACTTTCCACTCATTAATAAAATTGGTGTCTCTAGACTTATGATTGAAAATGATTACATTTTAAATAAAATGGAATCATGTTTCTGAATAAAAAGCAATAATCAAAAGAGCAGGGTTTATTTCAAGGGAAACCAAGTTCAGCACAATGATCCATTTAGCTTCATTTGTTCATCCCTGTTGCATTCTTCACAGCATCAGCAGCTCCTTGTGCTTTAGCCTTCATTTGTTGGCCAGCCTATACATAACAAAATAAGCTTTACTTTCATGAGGTCCATTTCATGAAAAAAAGAATGTAAATATAGATTGAACATGTTCTCAATGAATATTGCAAGTCACGTAAAAGGGTAAAAGGTAAAACTCGGTGCACAAGGCTACTTAACTTCCGAAAGGTAGGGAATGAAGGTTAATTGTGTGTAATCTTACTCTTATATTTTTGTAAAGAAACTGGTTCTCAGATTCAAATCTGTAACCTTTCGGTCACAAGGAGCAACCTTACCCTACTCGAAGGCTCTCCCTCGTGTTGAGAAATTAATATAATTGAAAGGCCAAATGTTGACAAATAAACAAGTAACCTCTTGCATGGATTCTTTAGCAGACTGAGCAGCATTGCCAGCCTGGTCCATCATGTTGCTAGCCTTTTCCTGCAATAACACAAAATCTTGTTTGTGTGTCATCAAAATTGAGCACATGCAGAGACTAAAACAGAGAGAAAGTTAAAGAGTTAAGACAGACCTGAGTTTGGCCCTTGGCTTGTCCAGCATTGTAGCTCATTTGGTTGGAGTCCATCTTCTATGAAAAGTGTTAAATGAAGTGAAAATCAAGTGTTGTTTTAGTTTTTCAGATGCTTATTTGTTACCGTCTGTTGAGACTTATATAGTTTCTCAAAGTGGGTCAGTATTCAACACGTGTTATTCTCACGTTTTGCTACACAAATTGTGATCCACAATTTTCTCCTTCAAAAACGTTTTCAAGGGCACATGGCATGCCACTCTTGGAAAGCGACTTGTGGAAGCAAATATGTGGAGGAGATTCATTCATAACTCCACTCTACTACCTTAGCTTGGACAAGTTCTTCCAAAGATCTTATTTATTGTAGGCTAATAATAGGAAATTTTAATTTCATTTTAATGCCAAAATCTTGGGTAGAAAAGTCTACATAAGCATAACACAAATATGAAAAGTGTAGGTCATATATAGTAAAAAACAGTGATACTCGTAATAAATTGGCACTTTTTGAATTACAACATTGCTATGACTTGGAAATTGTAACCTGAAAATAGTGAAGAACTCTTCATAACTCTCCTGGTCAACCGATCTAGATGCCACTATCTCTCTCTCTCTCATCAAAAATAGCATAACACCACAATAGTCCCTATAAGAAAATGTAAGGATGCCACGTGGCCAACTGAAAGTTGAGTAGCTAAAGCTTGAGCAGTTCAATTCATTGGTAAACTTGCCTATAAATCTCAACAGAGTGAAGGGACATTAATCTTCATCTCAAACTTAAATAATTCTTGATCTTCAATTCATTCTGTTCTTGCTTATTTGAAGAAAATGGATTCCAACAAGATGAGCTACAATGCTGGACAGGCCAAGGGCCAAACCCAGGTTTCCCTACTCTTCTCTTATGTAGTTATATAATATATAGTCTAAGGGTGTGCCAATTTTATGTAACAAAATATTTATATATGTGCTTTTGTGTGTGTTACAGGAAAAGGCTAGCAACGTGATGGACAGTGTTAGCAATGCTGCTCAGTCTGCTAAAGAATCCATGCAAGAGGTTCCAATTTTTCAATTTGTCAAAATTTGTGGTTTGAAATAGAATACAATTTGCAAAATCGATATGAATAGCTCACGTTTATGGCCTAAATTTCAATATACTTCTGCAATTGTTGTAAGAAAAATCTAATATAAAAATAATTAAAGTGATTTTTACTTAACAACTTGAGTTTTTAGATAAAATGTGTGTGTGAGTACTACCAAAAAAAAAAATGTGTGTGTGAGAAAATGTATTAAAGAAATCTAATATAAAAATCATTAAAATGACTTTTACCATGAATCTGCATGAATACATTTTTTTTTTATTGTGTGCAGGCTGGTCAGCAGGTGATGTCAAAGGCTCAAGGAGCTGCTGATGCAGTGAAGAATGCAACCGGGATGAACAAATGAACTAAGCCTTTTGGGTCATGATTTGTCAACTTTCAATTAGTATTTTTCTATGTTTGTTTCTTTTTTCTGTTTCCTAGGGCATTATGTTAAAATTGTGTGGTGTTCCTCCTTGGGGAGTCTTTTGATGTAGTTCTTTTGGTGTTTTTGTTTCACAAGAAGAATTTGTGATGTAGTTCTCACTTAATTCATTAATCCACGGATTATATCTTTATACACTTTGGTCTTTAAACGAAAATTTACATTCCTAATTGATCGCTTCAATATTTAATATTCTTTTATACACCTCAATATTGTTTTATACTCTTCAATTCAATATTGTTTTAGTTTAAAACGGTTTAATAATATAGGAAAAAAAGTATATATATAATTAGAATGATACTTTTGAGGAAAAAATAAAAAAATTAGAATGAAAAAAAAGTATATATATAATGAGAATGAAAAAAAATATCTAATGATACTTTTGAGGTTAAAAATAAAAAAATTAGAATGATAAAGACTATTATAATCCTGAAATAAATTATAATTACAAAAACACCATGATTTCCGCTCCAAAATGACGTCGTTTTGGTGAATATTAGATAAAATTATCTAAAATAACTTAAAAAAAACAAACTCAATAATATATAGAGTAAAATTATCTTTCAGTCCCACATAAATACAAACTTTATCTAACAGATATATTATATTGGTTTTTGTCCTTCAAACTTAAATATGATACGATCTCTCCGCCACAAACATATAATCCACAGCTCAATCAATATATATATATATATATATATATATATATATATATATATATGATTAATTCCATCAATAATGTATAACCAATGTTTTAAAACCCGGATCGAATCAGACAGGTTGATCTGGTCATTGAATCGGCCGCCGTGATGACTCGATCGATGGGTCAAACGAAACTTGAGTTAAGGAATCGAATCCAGCTCAAGGGAGTAAGTCGTGTTATCATTTATTACTACGCTACTATTAATTGTTGGTTAAAATGTACCTTATAATACATTATTATATAATTTCATATAAATTTAATTAAATCGATTGATCCAGTAACCTCCCGAATGAACTAATAACCCGGTGAACTAATTAATGAGTTGCTTCAACTATTTTCCCTTTTATTTATTTATTTGGGTGTAGAATCAATTTGAGCCATTTGATAAGCAACCAATTCAACCTAATAACTAAAGTTAGTAAGTGAAGGATCTTTAAAGATTTATTATTATATCTATCTAATAATTTAGTTTTGAATTGTAAATATTGTACATGTCCATTTTTTTAATTCTATTTTGTGTTCACTTAATCTATTAAAAAATGAAGGGTAATAAAAATAGAACTCGTGGCTTCCTGAGAACCTTAGCTCTAATATCATGGTAAACAACTAATTCAACCTAACCATTAAACTGGTAATTGAAGGATATTTAATAATTTTATATTATATTTATTTGATACAATTGTTTCTACATGAAACCCGATTGACAAGTATCAAACGTGCAAATACTTGTGCCACTATTTTTATTTGACGTATTTGTCTCGAAGCAGCATTTTTTTAGGATAATAGAGACTCAAAATGATGTTCGTTGTATGAACACAGTGCCTATTAGTTATAAGATAAAGAAATATATTTCTTATATTGCATGACATATAATTATCTCATGCAATATATAAGAAGTGAGTGGAATAAACAAAAATAAAGAGCGAAAAGAAAAAAAAAAGTGAGTATCACTCTCGAGACAATTTTGAAAAAAATAATTTCCTATAACTAATCTAAAACTCAAAATATTTTAAAATAAAAAATAACAAAAGCCCCCTTGTTAAAGTTATTTAATGCTATCTTGATTCTTGATTGATTGTGCGTGATAGAGCGTAATCATGCAAAAATTGCTAAACAAGTAATATGATTCTATTCTAGGATTTCTCTTTATCTTTCGAACATTTTTTTTTAAAAGCAGTGGCATGTCTTTTCTTGGGGTGCTCTAACAGAAGGTGATTAAGGTTAAAAGAGATGCATACAATTCTTGGGGTGTCCGTAGCTGAAACTTCGTTGGTTCGATTTTTAAGTAAAGTATCTTGTGGTCAGTGATAAAAATATTTAGGCTTTATGTCATAAAGAGAATTAAGGTTTGTTTAATTGTGTTTTGGTTTTTATTCCTTAAAATTATATTGTAAAATAGTTATGGAAAAATGTGTTTTTTATTTTTTTTTAAATTAAAAGTAAAAGCACAAAATAAAAATAACTCGGATATGTTCTTTAAATTTGATTCTAAAAATAAAATAAAAAACAATTACAACTTTTAAAACTTTTTTTTACAAACTAGCCTTATCAAACGGATTTTTTTGTTTTGAAAATCAAAAAAATTCTTTTTGAAACATAATTCAAATAGGGCTTAGTCTCAATTAAATGGGTACGAACACTCCTTGAACACCAAAAAGAGATGCATATATGAGGGAGCACCCTATATTACATGAGAAGTAGGGGAGCATAAGAGCATTGTTGTTTCTGTCATCGGTGAGTAATTAACGCATATTTAAAGTTGTCCCATAATTATCCAAAAAAAAAAAAATTAAACACAAATTAATTTTTTTTCCAAAAAAAGTTGTTCCTTAATATGAAGTGAGATCAAAGGAATCAGGTTAGATGCTTGGCATAATATAAAGATTTAGAACATACATAATTAATTCAAAAGAATTTAAATTTAAATTTCGTTATCCAAGAAAAAAAATTAATTTCAAATTTCAAATTTAAAATAAATAAAAAATCAAGAATGATATGTTTAATTTTTATTTGAAAAAATTATATTTTTTAATTTCATATGTAAGAATAGATTAAATAAATATACTAAAAAAAAAGAATAGATTAAATAAAATTCGTTATCAGCTGCCTTGGGCTTTACTTCTTTCTCTTTTACTGCCTTGGGCCTGGAATGCCTATAGCTTAAACCTTCAAATGGACTTTTGCTTCAACTCCACTTGAATAAACAAAAAAAAACAAAAGATTTTTTGCCCTCAATAAAGATAGAATAAACCTAAAAAAGATAAAAGACCACTAAAAACCCCATACACTACAAAAAAACCGGTGTTTAGCCACATTTATAAATGTGGTTAAATTGCTCAAAAAATGTGGCTAATAAAAGCAACCACATTTTTTGTGAATGTGGCTAATCATAGCGTTGCAATATTTTAACCACGTTTACTACTTTACTTGGCCACATTTTATTTGAGTGTGGTAGCATTCGTTTAGCTACGTTTATTGATTATATTTACCACGGTTTAAATGTGGCTATTTTAAAGATTATTTTTTTAAAAAAATTACAACCACAGTGTGGCTGAATTCACATAATTAAAAACCAATAAAAGGAATAAAATTTAGGGGGGAAATGGATATAAATATCATTAAAGGTAACTTCGACAATGATTTGTTTTATCTCATGAAGTAATCTAACATTGATAAGACTTAGAATTTACAAACAATAAAGATTATTTTAACTAAAAATGGATCACTTAAAATCTACAAATAGTTGAGCTATATCCTTTTAATAGGACTAACCCTAGTCACCATTTAAGGTAGTATGAGCCTAGCCATTAATAACAAGACCATCAGAAAAGGCAATAGATTTTTCTGAATCCAACAAAGACTGCTCGAATACCTGCATGTATCAAAACAAAAAGAATGAATATTAAGTGGCAAATTTGTAAAAGAGCACAATGCATTGAGGAATCGTTACCAAGACATAAAAAGGTCCTCATCTTTGAGCACAATGACTGGGGTTTTCACGTACCACAATGCTAAGTGGGGCTGCAAAAACACTCACAGAAGATTATGTAAATGATCTCTACAACACATCCAAATGAGTTAATGGTAATGAGAAGAACAACGTCTTTTTTGAGTAAAACATAGTATAACCAAAGAATGGAACTGAACAGTGCCACCACTTAAGGCAGTGATTAAAAGCCCCTGTCGATTTCTGCTTGAACATTCAGTAAAATGTTTCAATTTTGTTTTCTAAAGTTTCCTGCATCAAAGATTAGTAAGTTGGTCTTTAGTATTAGACATTGATAGTCAAGACTTAGTCGGTAGCATAACCCAGACGTTTTGCCAAAGGAGTAATACCCAATAAGGTGAAGAAAAACACCCATCCCTAAAAAATATGAAGTGGTCATTCATACATTAAAAACCCAAGTAATAATCAAATCTCAAATTTAATTTTTTTTCAAAATTAAATTTGAAAAAATTTAAATTTTATTACCCATCCCTAACCAATATGAATTTTATTACCTCGTTTGATACCTGGTCGAAGGTAGTTAGTCCATCTAAGTATGCAGCTTTTACTGCATCTCAACAAACCTAGAAAAAAAAATTAATGGCTACGAAATCAGTTATTACATCCCTTCCCAACAATACATATATATATGAAGCTCAAAAAAGCTATGAGCAAAGAAATGAAAACTGAATGAACAAAGAAGTATACATGTAATTAGGTTAATTAATTATGTATATATAAATTACCAGTATTGATTGGAACTGATCTCCAATTCCCTGGTCCGTGTTCTTGAATGCAAGAGACCAAGGTGATGTCTTCCTCTGGAGTCCAAGGTCCTTTCTTAATCCCAACTTTGTGAGGCACTGCAAAACAGAGGAAGCTATGGCAGTGGGAAGCCGATGTCGCGGTGGCTGGAGGACGCAACATTCGTTTAAGATTATAATGTACCTGGACCAGCAGTGTTTCCTCCAATCTTGGACATAACTTGATGGAAGAAAGTTGCAACTGACTGCAGTATAACAATCAGAAGCAAAGATTGAAAAAGCTATAATTATCACAAGTAAAACCAGCTAAAAATATTATCCAGTTTGTTCTCCACTTGATTTGATGTCAGCAGAAGCTACACATAGTGGGACATAATTAAATTGCTTTCTCAACTCACAAAAATTACTAGCACGTGAAGAGCATCTAGTAACAGACTCTAAAAAGCTTTATCATGTGGTGAAAAATAGG